ATGCTGCACAAAGATGATAGGGTGCTGACAGATATTTGTCAATGACTGACACATGCACGGATGATGGATGACGGATGAATGGATGAGAGGGATAGACTGGATGGATGGACAGATATAGATGATTAGTACATGCACAGATGGTGGATGATTTGTACAGACAGAAGACAGATTGGTGACGGATGGACATAGATTAATGATTTATATCTACATAGAATACACATGCTACATGGATGACTGGATGGGTGGTGGGTATGTATTTGGTAGATACACGTTGGATTAGATGATTGATAAATGGATAGAGATGACAGATAGATAGATAGATAGATAGATAGACAGACAGACAGACAGAGAGCAGACAGACAGACCAGGTAGAGGATGGTCGGGTGTTTGCAAGGATGACTGGATGGGTGGACAGCTAGCTAGATGGATGGATGAGTAGAATGATTCCTAGGTGGACAGACGAGAGACAGGCAGACAGACAGACAGGTAGTGGGGGTGGCTGGGTGGTAGACATTGGACACAGAGGCTGTCGGCCCGGTTTGTTCCATGGTGGGGTTCCAAGTCCTCAGCCAGTGTTACGTGTTTGTCACCAAAAACCCAGCATCAGACTAACTCCGGAGGCCACAGCATGGGAACCATGCGGGGAAGGATGCAGGAGGCTCTGGCACATTTGCACACACACACACACACACACACATGCACGCACACATGCACGCACGCACACAAAGGGGACAGTCCCCACACATGCCACATCATTGGACTTTCCTCTTACCAAAAACTTAGGCACACGCAGACCCTAGGGGAGGACACCCCGGGGCTGGACCCCCCACCCAGGGCCCCGGGCACGGCCCCGACTTCCGTGCAGGGAGGTCAGGTCAGCACCGCGTGCTCCCGGTACCTCCCGGAGGTGAGTGTTTCCCGTTCAGCTGCACGTGGGCTCCACGCTCTGATTCTGTCTGCACAGCGGGCATCAGCCCGTGTGAACACAAAGCTGGCTTCCTGCGCAGTGGAGACGCAGCCACGCCAGGGACGGTGCACACTGCGGGTGCCAGGTCAGCTGCGCGTCTCGCCGCTGGACGCCAAGGGGCTGGGGAAACTCCCTGCATCGCGCTGGCACGGTGTTGATGAGTGGATTGCGCCGTCCGCGAGATCCAGCTGAACGTGCCGTTGGGAGGCATTTGGGGACGTGGTCTGCGGGCTGTGGTTGAGAGGGTGGACCCTGCGGCCCGCTTCCAGCACGGTGTGAGCATCTTTCCTCTCCCTGCCTGTGAGCCGCCATGTTTCTGTCTTTGACCAGCTGGCCATGGACTGAACCACCTACCGCCGTGAGCCTAACATACTCGTCCTTTCAACTGAGGGTGTTGGGTGTTTTGGGGACAGCAGCAGGGCGCGCTTGGTCTCTGCTCTGCTCAGCACGGGGCCCTCACCGGAGGGGGCTCTGCCTGGACGAGGGCGGCCCGTACCTGAGCTCCCTCCATCTGCAGCTCTGTCCCCCAAGATGCGTCTGCTCCTTTGACCCATTGCTGACCAGCAAACCTTTCCCCTCCTCCTCCTTCCCCTGCTCTTCCTGCCCAGCCCGAGGAGCTGTCACCCAGAGTCTCACATGGGTGCACATCTTCTCAAGGGCACTGAGGAAAGAGCACCCCACTTCCCCTGCCTCCACATCACCTGGTTGAACGGAGGCCAACATGGAAGCCAACGTGGAACCCAACATGGAAGCCTACATAAAGGCCAGCATGGAAGCCAGCATGGAAGGCAGTGTGGAAGCCAATGTGGAAGGCAACGTGGAAGCCTACATAAAAACCAGCATGGAAGCCAATATGAAGCCAATGTGGAAGCCAACATGGAAGCCAATGTGGAAGCCAATGTGGAAGCCAAGATGGAAGTCAACATGGAAGCCAATATGAAGCCAGTGTTGAAGTCAACATGGAAACCAACGTGGAAGTCACTGGCCCCTTGGCTCCCCAGGAAGGACCACCCTCAGGTGCCAGGGAGCACACGTGTTAGGCAGCTTGATGAGGCTGTGACAAAATACCCGAAAGCAACAACCAAGGAGAAGACGGGTTTGATTTGGACGCATGGTTTTGGAGGGTTCAGTCCAGGCTCAGTTGGGTCCCAGGCAGGAAGTACGAGAGAAAGCAACCACAGAGGAAGGGGCTGGGGCTGGACCGAGTCCCCGGGGTCACACCAGTTCTTCAGGGATGTCCCATCTACTAAATCTCTGCACCTTCCCTTTCTTTTTTTTGTCTTTTTGAGTCAGGGTCTTGTTGTGCAGTTCAGGCTGGCCTTGAGCTCACTTTGTAGCCCAGGCTGGTCTCAAACTCACCATGATCCTCCTGCCTCAGCCTCCCAAGTGCTGGGATGACAGGCGTGCACCACCACCCCTGTCTGCTGCACCTTCTAGCAAGGCCATCAAATTGTGACCCCAGAGACCCAGGACCCCCAGCCCCAGCCTGGGGTTCAGGACGGTGGGCACCGCCTAACACTCTGCACTCAATAGGGACGGGAGGATCCATGAGATCACACGCACGTTTACAAAAGAGCATTTTAAAAAGTAAAACAAAGCCACATAAGTGCTCCAGACACCAAGGCCCCAAGTGCCCGGGCAGTGCAGGCTCTGGGAAATCTCCCCGCCACCATCATGGTTGCCATCATCGCAGGCTCAGGACACCTCCTCCACCATCAGGACCTCCTCACACTCGGCTTTCCCCAGGCCGAGGGCGTCGTCCTCCCAGGGCACCTGCTCGGGGAGGGAGACACAGGCGTCGGGGCTTCCCCTACGGGACTCAGAGATGGAGGGAGGTATGGCCACACAGGGGGCCGCACGTGATTGGTGAGGGTGTGGCACGTGCAAAGGTCCTGGGGTCTGTGTCTCTGCGTGTGTCTGACATCTCTCTCCATGTGTCGGCATCCATGTCCCTGTCTCTGTCCCCTGCACCTGTGCATTTCTATCCACCTCCCCACTTCTCTCTCTCCTGCCCAGCCCCATGCGCGTTTGCCCAGCTACACTCACAGCTGAGACCCGACCGCAGGCATGGCAAGGATGGGGACGGCACCCTACGAGTGACGCTGTGGCCCCGGGCACGGGTGGCGGTGATTCCCTGTCCCCACCCTCGGCATCCACGCTGTGTCCACTCTTACCCGGGCAGCAGCTCCGTCCACGTCACTCACTTTGTCCTTGACCTGCGGGATACGGGGGAACAGACCGCGGACCCCAAGGAACCTGGAGACAACAGCGGAGCTGGAGCGTGGTGGGGAGCTGGGGCCGGGCCTCATCCGGGCCCCCAGACCCGCTGTACCCCGATCCTGCCCTGCGCCTCCTCGCCCGGCTCTGGTCTAGGAACAGCCTCCCAGCCACGCTCAGGGCGTGCCGCCCACTATCCACGCTTCACGGATGCTGTTTCACATGACAGTTTCACTTTCCATCTATTCCCCTGCACATGACATAGGACCATCCTTTACTGTGGCTGCATAGTATTCCAGGACACACATGTGTGCTGCCTTTTCTTAACTCGACAGGCATCTGTAGTAAATGGCATAACCCTGTGATTTTTCATGGCTGCATAGTATTCATATATTCATATATGCACTGCTTCTTCTTTACCCATTTTTCTGCTGCAAATGACATAGTTCCATCCTTTTTTGTAGCTTCATAGTACTCCATTGTATTTTATATATTATATATACGTAATATACAGTAAAACCTTGGATTATGCGAATAGTTGGTTGCAAAGCATTTGTATAACAAAGCAGAGAGAGAGGCAGGGAGAGAAAGACAGAGAGAGAGAGAGACAGAGACAGAGACAGAGAGAGACAGAGAGAGAGAGAGAGGGAGAGAGAGAGAGAGATCAGAACCAGCTGTGACCATGTTACAGTCAGTGTGACGTACTATTCATATTGTAAGATGTCACTCATTTATAGTTAAAAATCAGAAGCCGGGTGTGGTGGTGCATGCCTGTAGTCCCAGCACTCAGGAGGCTGAGGCAGGAGGATCACTGCGAGTTTGAGATCAGGCTGGGCTACACAATGAGCTCAAGGCCAGCCTGAACTGCACAGGGAGACCCTGTCTCAAAAAGACAAAGAAAAATCAGAAATGTTTGCTCATCTTGCGGAACACTCACAGACCAAGTCACTCTCAACGCAAGGCTTGACCGTGTAACTGTGTCACTTTTGCCTTATCGAGCCCACTGTTACAAATGGCATGAGCTCACCCTTTACATGCCCACATAATATTCCATTCTATACACACACAGCACCTTTTCTTTACCTATTTTCTGTGGCAAATGGCACGGTTTTATCCTTTTTGTGGCTTCATAGTCTTCCACTAAATAATATCCACCTATCTACCACATTTGCTTTATCCACTCACCTGTTCCAAATGACTCTATCCTTTTTCATTGCTGCATACTATTCAGAGTGGTGTAGACCACACTGTTTTTATCCATCCATTTGTTGATGGGAACCTGGGCTAAGTCAGACCCCTTAAACACGGGGTTGGGGTCCTCATCGTGGGCTATCTTTAGCTACCTGGGTCATGCCTTTGTGGCAGAGCTGGACCCTATGCTAGCCTATTCTTCATGTTCTAAGGACCCCACACTGATTTTGGGGTGTCACAGCAGCATAGGGGCTCACTTTGGGGGTTACCTTTTAAACAGGAAGCCGAGGACCAGGGCGCACACAAGGGTGCTCAGCACCACTGGGACGTAGAGGCGCAGGGCCTGAGGATCCCGGGCATCGGAGCCTGCAGAGGAGAAGTGCGTGGGGCCAGGGCTGAGCAGGTGGTGGATCAGAGGACAGTGCCAGCTAACGGCAGGCTCCTCGTCAGCCCAGGCCCCTAAGGTCCAGGGAGGATCGGGACCCAAACCAGGGGAGAACCCAGCAGCCCGACTTCAGAACCAATTTAAGTCCAAGCGTGGTGGTGCACGCCTGTCATCCCAGCACTCAGGAGGCTGAGGCAGGAGGATCGTAACTTCCGGCTCAGCCGGGGCTCCATAGTGACTTAGTAATGACACCCTTGCTCCAAAACTAAAAACTAAACAACGGCCTAGATGGAGCTCCATGCAAAGGCCCGCATTTAATGCTAAGTGCTGAAACAATTGTTTTTAAAATATGGGCAAAAAAAGCCTACACATTTGTGGGGATAGTGTTTCTCTATTTCTTTTTGAGACAGGATCTCACTGGGCACACCAGATTGACCTCAAACTGGCAGTGATTCTCCTGCCTCAGCCTCCTGCGTGCTGAGATGAAAGGTGTGCACCACCACCCCTGGCTCTATGATTTTTTTCAAGAGTCTGAAAATGTCTGAGCTGGAGGAATCAGATGTGTTCAGAGTTGGACTGGTTTTAGCGCTAAAATGTTAAACCCTTGCCTGCTGTAACAGTGACGGGCTGGAGCCAGGTGAGTGACCTGCTGATTGAGTTACCTG